GACAATGTGGTTAATTGAAAGTTAAATCTTGACAAATATTCTGATATGTTTTACATATTTCCAGCGCTGTATATGTGTAACTAGATGACCACAAAAATAATATAACCCAGATTTTGGGAAATGTTCCAACATCAGACAGTTTTTAAGTTGCTGTAATGAGGACCCCAGGGAATGAATATTTCTGATATCAATCATTTGGGAAGAGGTGAAATCCTGGAGCAGGAAATGCAAATTGACCTTGAATCAGAAAAGGAAGGACTTCTGCCACCCACCACCCACTCCCTGCGTGCTGCCATATTGAAGCTAAGAAGACATGAGTTTGGAGGTGTGGAAAAACCTAGAGATTTTTTGTGACTAACTAGTTAGTTATGTGCCATGAGAAGATGCCTGTCCTTCTTTGCTGTTGTCATCAACAGCAGTGCCTTCAAGACATACAGAACATCCTCCAAAATATGCTACCTTGGTGTAATGATTATTTTGAGCTGAAGGCAATTGAGAACTAGCAAATGCAGGGAGGGCTCTCTGCCCTCCCCATTTCTTCCTAAAAGCAGGGCACACTTTTCTCATGAAAAGGGTGTTTTCCCTATGTCAAGAAGGAGAGAACGTTCTTATCACTGGAGATAAGGAGTCAAAACAGACCTTTCTAAAATAACCTTATCTTTCATTAGTTTCTCCCATTTATGTTCATGGTCATTTCCCCACAACTTACTGATCCTAGCCCAAACTACTTTTCTTTGTGTCATCATGTGTCCAAAACATATATTTATCTTTGTTAAAATGACATATAGGCCCCTGGGTCTAATTTCTTCCATGGCATTTTTCCTTCCTTCTCTCAAGTTCCCTGTGCCATATAAAAACATCAACATTATATACAATTTTTTACACTTTTTCTCCTGTTAGTCAGGAATCAGTTCAATTCACAGGCCCTAGCCATAGACTTAAGAGGGTAGAGGAAAAGTATTTCCTTTCCTACAAAATTAAGTAGGACATAAGAGAACCACGTCCCCCTCTGTGAGAGGGGCATCAGAACCCCTTGCTCTGTCCAGCCTGGTGATCTTCCAAGTGCCGTCTCAACGGCAAAGACAGCAGCATGGCAGCATGAGAAGAAGGCAGATCAGAGGAACCAGTGGCTCTGTTCCAAAGTGCCCCACAGGTAGTACCCCAGGTAATCAACCCTCAGAGAAAATGGGAATGACGTTGAACAGGGCTTTACTTTGGGCATTTATGGCTCTTAACCTGAATCTCAATACTGTGTAAAATTTTAGATGAGTATTGGGAAACAATGATAAGGAGTAAAGTTGTCCATAAACTATATTACAATATTCAGGTAGAAATTCAGATATGAGTAGGCGTAACCACCTGGAGGTGAGGGGTGCATTGGGGGAGGAAGCAAGCTTGGGCCAAAAGCAGAACCAAAACTAAATGTACAGAGAGGGGGAAGGTAAGTCAATTTAACCTCAGCTGGTAACTATATGATACAATAGAAATTGCATGTCTAGTTTTTTGGTAAATTTTCATCATTAAGTCATATTTTGGTTTGTGCATCTTCAAAGAAAGTCAATAGACCTTTGGAATATCACCAGGAAAGGGCTCAAAGGACCAAATAAGGTATCCTACAACCCCAAGTCACTCCCAGATTATAATCACATGGAAATAGGGAAGAGGTTACACAGGCCTCACTAGACATGAAATTGGGCATTTCCATGGGGGGGACAGCTGATCACATGGTGACCACAAGCGATGAGCTATATGAAAAACTGGCGGAATAAAAGAACAACCGTAAAAGAAATGATTTTGGATTTGTATGTCAATCTGTGTTACCATCTATTGTAAAGACACTTGAACTTTATGAAAATTTCTAGGGTCTGCAGAGTTGTTGTTTCTCTATTGATGAGGCAGCTGGTCAGTAGAAATAAGAATTTTTTTAAAATTTCTGGTGTCTTTTCTCATCATGTCCTCTCCTTCAATATTATCTTTGCAAAAGCTGGTTCTTAGTGAGGGTGATGGCCACTCCATCCCTTCTTTGCACTCTGAGCAAATTGGGATCATAGAGATTATGCTAAATTTACTCTATTTGTTTACCAACAAGGGATAAGACCACATGGAGGAAGAAATAGAGCAGATTGTTAGCAAAAAGCAAGTATGACTCCTTATATTGATTCAAGCCAACAACACCTAAATAAGAAAATTGGAAATCATAATTGTGAAATATGGCAGTGGAATTTCAAATGTAGAAGAACCTTGTAGATGAGCTAATCTGATTCCTTCATGTTATAGATGATAAAATTGAGACATTAAGTGACTGTCTCAATGACACACACAACCAGTTACTGGCAAAACTTGGTTTAGTGCTCAAGAGAGTTTATTTCTTGGGGGATTTCAAAAATGCCCAGATAAATAGACTGAATTATAATGTGTGAATTTATGACATAGTTGGAGAAACTAGACATTTTTAATGTAGAAAAGAGAAAAATTGGGGCTACGACTATAGCTCAGTGGCAGAACACTTTTCTATGAGGTGTGAGGCACTGGGCTCAATCCTTAGGACCACATAAAAATAAACAAATAAAATAAAGGCATGCTGTCCATCTACAACCACAAAATGTTTTTAAAAAAATAAAAGGGAAAATTAGGAACATAATTATTTTCAAATCTCAGAGGATTAACAGATAGGAAAGCACTCAAATTGACTGTCAGAAGAAGCAGGGAACGTTGTTCAACATTAGAAGGAAGATTTGAACAGTTCATTACATGATAAAACCTCTTAAACAGTCAAAATTGGCCAGAACAATTGTTGGGGAATAATAAGTTTTCTGTCACTGAGGCATTTCAGAATAGACTGGAAAATAATGTAGTATGTTTTTGTCTATAGGGAAGAGGGGGATAAGGGGTGGCATGGAGGGGAGAATTCAGGCATGAAAATCATTTGGAGGGGTGACCTTTAGGAGGATGTGATTCTTTACAACCTGGGACCAAATAAGGGTTTCATTCTTGCCTCTGAACTCTAAAACCTATCTTCCTATCTGTTTGCAATAGTTTAAATTTTAATCTATTTCATATTTCAGGGTATTATGCCCTGAATATTTGATTTGAATGCTGTGGCAGAAGGTCACTCATATTCATTTATTTTCTTTTACTCTTATACACTTGCAGTGAGTCTTTTGAATCCATTATGCAAACACATGCAAATCATATGCAAATGATGTGGCCTCAGAAAATGACAAAATCTTATGGTAGTAACCAAACCATCAAACCTTTCTTTAAGAAGGAAAGTAATATGGCTTTTTCAATGTCTCTGGGGTAGGAGACAATTTCCTGAGAGTAATATTTACATGACGTTGGAACAGGAGACTCAGAGGAGCCTTTGCTTCACATGCTTCGTGTTTACGTAGGGTTTTAAGGTTAAAAAAGCGTCTTCTTATATATGGTCCTATTGGATTCTCATAATTATCCTGTGATGGAAGCAAAACAAGAATTACAATTCTTATTTTCCCAATGGGGAAACGGCCTTAGAGAAGTAAAATGACTTGCCAGAGACCACTCAGTAAAGGATGGATCTGAGGCCCTTTCCTGTCCTCAGCTCTTCCCACACACCGTGATAGCTACCCTTCTGCATTTGCCACTGTGTTTTGCCAACAGCTTCTGCAGAGGTGCTCTTATTGATGAGGATGGCAAGGTAAGGGCAACCACAAAAGCCTAATTACTTATAATAGCCCCAGCAATGTGTCACTGTGCAGCTTCTACATCTCCCTCTACTTTTTAGCATCTACTTTAAAATCTTCAGATGAAGAATCTTCTTCACCCCAACTTCTCTTCAGCTGCTTGAAAGACAAATTTTTTCATATACTGTGGAGAAAGAAATGCAGTCTCTGAGAGAAACCATCTGGATTGGAAAAACCTACTCTACCTACATAGAGTTGTGTAGTATCCTAGAAGTCATTTAAGTTCTCTGAGCATCATTTTCTACAACCATGAAACAAGGAAAATTACAGCACTTTTATAGCACACATAGAATAATTCTAGTATATAAAAATGTACCAAAAACTAAAGATAAAGGCTGGCCTGGTATCTAACAATAGCTCGATAAAAGGTAACTACTATAATCACTTTTTTAATGTTAGTAAGACAATGCAGTAGCAGTAATATCTCCAGTCACTACAAACTCTGAAGCTAAGAACTGGATTTCTGGAAATGGAACGGGAGAACAGTAACACCAAATATCTCCTATATGCCAGACAGGTGGAGAACAGAAAAGGTCTAAGGTAGCTAAAGTCAGCACATTGAGAAAAAGCTTGAACTATGACTTCTTCTAATCACCACTACATCTTGCACCATAATGAGAATAATTACACTGGTGCTTCCAAGCTATTTCTAAGGAGAAATTGAGCCAAGGCTGACATCCTTAGCTCTGCTCCCCCTTGGCCTGGCTGCTTTGTTTATAGCAGCTGCTGTTTAACCTGGGCCAGCTGGGAGGGAATAAGAGGGGAATCCTCCCAAGCTGCTGTGACAGGCCTGTGTCACCAGGTCAAGCCAAAAGGTGGATTAATCCTTCACCTGTACAAAGATCAGAGGTGGGGTTGGACGAGATGGGCCAAGCAGCTTCTGAAACTCAAGAAATAGGTATACTCATGAATCTGTCACCTCCTGTACCAGTTCACAGCTCCTTGGTCCTCCTACAGGGTGCTTTGCCCTGCCAGGTTGCCTCCCACCTCTCCTAGTCACTCATTCAACAGCTAGCAAAGTGACCTTCTGTGTGACTACAGAATCCTGTGTCCACAGCCTCTCTAATAGAGAAGGACAGTTGGAGTTGACCAAACCCTGGTAGCTGGCTTAAAGTCAGTGGGAGCTACCTCACAGAGGGCTGCACAACTGATATCATGTTTGCCAGGAAATGCAAAGCCTCATCCTAGGGCTGGGTTCTCAGTTATTTTTGGCAAAGATGATGGGTATGCAAAAGGAACTTCCCTTTTTTTTTTTTTTTTTCTTAACCCAGAGGCACTGAATGCTGAGCAGTCAATAGAAATTCTGGTTCCAAGATCACCCTTCTGGGTACCTCTCTAACTGCCAAATTGCTGGGATCTTTATAGCTTGATTCAGTTTCTCAGCTCCAAGTATTAGGTAATCTCACAAAGCTGGGGCTGCCCTGGACCTGTGATGGCTTCCCTTGTCATCTGCTTCTTTTTGGTGGTGCTGTTTTCAGCCTGCCATGAAGTCAGCACCTCCTCAGATCAGCTGTGCATTGAGGTGAGTCCAAACTGTTTGTCTTTATCCAGATTAAACTTTCTAAAAATTTCAAGATTCTGCATGTGGTCCCTTGGCATTTCAATATGCACTGACTCCAAAAGGCCAATGGGTCTATAGAAGTTTGTCTTTAATATGAGAAAGGAGCCAAAGAACTCAGCTAGGGGATGGTCTGGGAGCATCTTGCGGGGAAGAAGTGAGAATTTCCCTCTTCCTCTAGCAATTCCTTCCACATGATCCCACTTGAGACATGAGATAGGAACAGGGCCCTGATACTAAAGCAGCCCTGATGAAACTTGCCTCTTTACCTGGGGAAGCTGTTGTCCAACATCCTAGCACGTGGCCACCACTCCAGACAGTTCTTTGGTTTCCTGGCTGTCAGGATGAGGATTAGTAAAGACAGGCTCTTGCCAGGTTTAAGAGCATTTAAAAGATCATTCTGAATTAGTCTGGCTTTCTCCTCAGGTTGGATAGCCCTCCATCTGTTTGACTAACCCACAGGAGTCAAATCTGAGAATAGAGCCAAATTGTACCTTCTGTTTTGGACCATAGCACTATTTATCAACCTGTAGGTAATTCTTGGAGGGAATAGCAAGAAAGAGAAAGGGAATGAGCCTCCATCTCTTGCCATCTTCTAAAGGGCTTCAAGTGTCCTCCCAGGCTCTCTGGCCCTGGCAAGCATCCAATACCACCTGGCCTACTGGACAAGGGCTGCAAACAGGAGTGAACATTGATGGTAGTGGGTTGGTAAGCTGCCTTCCTAAATTGGGGCTGAAAGAAGAGTAAGAGCCAGGAGTGGCAAAGTGTAGGATGACCCTGAGGCAGTCACTGGGGACATTAGGAGCAGGATGAGCAAGCGGGGCAAAGACCTGCCAGATAAGGACAGAAACCAAAGCCAGGCCTGGAACAAAGCCTGGGACAGAAATGAACACAAACTTGTTAGTCTGGTGTTTGGATGGAATTGGGTACTCTCAGACCAAGAGAAGGTGGAGTGCCCAGGGGAAATTAAGGCTGGGACAGTATATTATTTTGCTCAGGCTCCCATAACCAAGTGTCACAGACTTAGAGGTTTAAACTACAGAAATTTATTCTCTCATAGTTCTGGAGCCTGGAAGTGTGAGATCAAATTCCCAGTGGGGTTTGTTTCTCTTTAGGCCTCTCTTCTTGCGTGTAGCTGGCCATCTTCTCCCTGGGTCTTTGCACAGTTTTCTTACTGGGCATGGCCGTGTCCTGATTTCCTCTTATTATAAAAACACTATCATACTGAATGAGGGCCAGCCTAGTGACTTTATTTTAGGCCCTATTTCCAAATACAGTCACTTTATGAAGTACAATGTTAGAACTGCACCATATGATTTTATACAGGAGACAGGCTGTGGGTAAGGGGGTGACATAATTCAGTTCAGAACAGAAGGGCAAAACCTGAGAAAGCTGTCTCCTTACCATTGGTGTTGGAAGGTCAATTTCTTTTTTCCCCCCACATTTTTTTATTTTATTTTATTTATAATTTTTTTAAATATTTATTTTTTAGGTGTAGATGGACACAACATAATACCTTTATTTTTATGTAGTGCTGAGGATCGAACCCCGGCCCTGCCTGTGCCAGGAGAGCGCTCTACCGCTGAGCCACAATCCCAGCCCCCCCACATTATGATTTGTTCATATCTCTCCCCAGCACTTCCCTCCTTCCTCCCCACCTCCCACTCCTTGGTTCCTTCCCTCTACTGATCTCCCTTTGATTTTCATGAGATCAGCCCCCATCTTTCTTTTCCTCTTTTTTTCCCCTAGCTTCCACAGCATATGAAAGAGAACATACATTCCCTTAAAGGAAGGTTAATTTCATACAGAAGTGAGTGGCACTATAATGGCATAGGAGTGGGGACATGGCCTCCTCAGTCATCAGGGACATGTGCCATCCATCTCCTGCAACACCCTCAGATGGGATAATACTGCCATTAAATTCCAGCTTATTCAGGAGCACGCTATTTTAAATGCCCCGCGATTACACCTACAAGTTCAAGTCTCAAAACCCTATATCCTTCCAAAGCCAATTCTGCCCTTCTGAAGGCCACAAGGAGCCCAAGGAAGGGCAGCACTGCTGAGAGATTTGCAAAGCACATAGAAATACTGTGCTGGTTGAACTGCATATTGAGAACATCAGGCCCCAGAGTTGCCAGTTCTTTTAGATGACTCCCACTGTAGCAGAGAGGAGGGGACAGCAACAGGGAAAGGACCTCAGTCCTTTGGTCATCTGTTCTGGGGCCTTCTGTACTATGGAGGTCATAGAAGTGGTCTAGGTCCCAGGACCTGGACTTGTGTTGAATAAAACAGGCAAGACTGAAATCTTCCAATGCAGCAGACTTCCTGTATTACTTTCTCTAAAAAGACTCTGATTTTAAATGTCTTTGTGTCCAGTAACACTGGACCTATATATCCTTTTACTTTTCTCTCTTGTGTGAGGGCTTTGCACACACTAGGCAAGATCTCTACCACTGAACTACATTCCCAGCCCTACATAGGAGCAGATTCTAAAGCTGATTTTCCCACAGTGATAACGTAAGAGCCCTTACCACTGTGGGAAACTACAGAGGGACTTGGGAGAGACAAAGATAAATGGGATTTCCAGGCTGCAGGTGAGATGAAAGGAGTAGTTAGGAGAAGAAATGTGTGCCTTTGACGTAAGGGTCTGGCCCCTTCCCAAGTTCAAATCACCCTAACTTTAGCCACGTTCCTTCCCTTGTTCTCTGTTCCCCCTTTCTTCTTCCCCTTCAGTTCAAGCAGAATTGACCACATACTGTGTGTTCATGAGACTGACCCCCAGTAACTTCTCTAACTTATCCTGAAAATTAGATTTTGGTTTTGTTTCACTTTGAGTTTAGCAATCTTTTTGTTGAAACAAAATACAAGCCCTAAATGTGAGGTTAAATGCATTTTCACCAAGTGAATATATTCATATAACCAGCACATAGATGAGAACACAGAACATGCTCAGTACATGGAAGCTTTCCTCATGCCTCCTCCCTGTCACTAATCCCCAAAGGCATCCAGTCCTCTAACTTCTATCGTCATCATTCTTTTTGCCTGGATTTGAGCTTATAAACGTGGAAGCCCATGGTGTGCATTTTTTGTCTGTCTGCCTTCTTTTGCTCAACGTTAAATCCTTGGTGGTGTGTGCAGCAGTCATTCGTTCAAGCTCATGACTGAACCACACTGTTTGATCAGTGAGCTGCCATTTATTAATGCCTTCTACTGTTAATGGATATTGGCATTGTTTGTAGTTTTTTGACTGTCATGAATGATGCTATTTTGGGTGTTGTTGTCTTTAATTAACAAAGGTATGAATATTTATTGTGTGCCTTAGAATGGATGTATTTGGTCATAGGGTATACATAATTTTAACTTTGATATTGCCAAATGGTTTCCTAAAATGTTGGTACCAATTTATACTATTGGAAAAGTTTATGAATTCTAATTGCTCCACAGATTCACTAGCATTTTATTTTTTTATTTTTTTTAAAGAGAGAGAGAGAGGCAATTTTTAAATATTTATTTATTTATTTTTAGTTTTTCGTGGACACAACATCTTTATTTTTATGTGGTGCTGAGGATCGAACCCAGCACCCAGCGCGTGCCAGGCTAACTTGTTACCGCTTGAGCCACATCCCCAGCCCTCACTAGCATTTTATATTGTTTGTTTTTAAGTGTTGGCCCTTGTGATGGGAAGGTAGTAGTATTTCCCTGAGATTTAATTTTTGCTTGCTTGCTTTCTTTTGTTCTTTCTTTCTTTCTTTCTTTCTGTGGTGCTGGGGATTGAACCCTAATTTTTGTTTTCTTGAAGAATAATTAATTTGAGCAAATATTCATACTTTGGCTAATCATTACATTACATGTGTGTATGTTTTGTCCAGGATCAGACACAGGGCTTTGTGCATACTAGGCAAGAGCTCTATCACTGAGCTACATTCTCAGCCCTGCATAATCCCTTTTATGTGTGTGAGGTACCTGTTCAAGTCTCTTGCCCATTTTCTCATAGGCTGTCTTGATTTGTAGATATTGTTTATGTTTTGTGAATAAAAATCCCATATGAGAATGCAAATTTATCTTCTCCTACTCTGTGACTTATCTTTCTACTCCCCTTAATGGTATCTTTTGCTAAATAGAAGTTCTTAATTTTATTATAGCTCAAAGTATCATTTTTCCTTTAGTTTCCTTGCATGTCCATGCTTAAGAAATTTTGGTTATCCCAAGACTATGATGATATTATCCAGTGATTTTGTCTAGGAATTTGTTTCATATTTATTTCTACTTCTATGTTTCATGCATGCCAGGTGGCAGTTGGGAATAATTTTTAATAAAACTTTTTGATAAAAAGGAGTTTAAACTGGACTGGGGTTGTGGCTCAGCAGTAGGGCACTTACCTAGAACATGTGAGGCACTGGGTTTGATCCTCAGCACCACATAAAAATAAATAAACAAAATAAAGGTATTGTGTCCAACTACAACATATATATATATATAAATGTATATATGGGAGTTCAAACCTACCAATGCATTTGAGAGACATTACAATGAACACTCACAAACCTTTCAAGCAGATTCTTCCATTGCTAGATGTTGTATGTTTTCTCTGTGTGTGTGTGAATGTGAAATATATGTATATAGAGAGGTAAGTAACAAAATTATAGCCATGACCAAGCCTTCAGAGGATGACAAATATGAAGAGTAGCAGGAATCCAGTGTTCAGTGATTTGGATTTTGATCATGGGAACATTTTACATGCAACTTAGAATAGTTACTTCAAGAGGGCAGGCAGGCCTTCCCATTTCAAATGGGCTCCTCTTAACCATTCTCTTCCCCCAAAACCACAATAGGAGAGTGTCCTTCAGTCTCTAGGTATGGAGCAGGGGTCCTCAGCAGAGCACTTTTTGAGGGGTACTCAAGTTTATGGATGTAAGAACTTCCTAATAGCTTTAGATAATGATATGATGCTATGCAGATCCCATTAAGGGCTAACTTCTTTTAGTACTGACACACATTTTAATCCTCATAGTAAGACTGCAAGATGAGATTATCATCCCCAGTCCACAGCTGGAGAAACCACATGTCCAGACAACAGAATTTTGTGTTAAGAGCTGGGACTTGAACTCCAGTGGACTGATTATAAAGACAAAATAAATAAATAAACAAACAAACAAACAGACAAACATATAATTGGAATGCCCAAAGTTTTAGGGATGTGCCTTCTTGGGGGTGTTTGTTTTATTTTGTTTTCAGAGAGTAATCATTGCTCTAAGATTCATCTTACTAGCCAAATTGTTCTCTCTTGGATAGAGGTGTGATTAAAGAGGGAGGGTTGGGGGGCAGTGTCCCAGACTCCTTGTGCATGCATGTGTCAAGTGCAGATGAGACGCCTGAAAAGGTGGGAATAAGCACTTGAGTGGAATTCAAAGCGTTCCAAATTAGAAAATGCTTCCACACTTGCAAGGAGAGAAAATACAGTGGGATGGGAGGGAGTTAGAGATACATTGCAGAAAGAAGCAAAATAAGATCCTGATTGAAAAAATGCAAATGAATACCTGCAGGGAAAAGGGATTGCAAATATAAATGTAGCACTTGGGAGCCTTGATCTGGGTAAAAGGCACAGCTCTGAGACCAAGCTGGAGACAAAATGATTGGCACAGGTCCCAGGGTACAGTGAGTCCTAAGCAAATGCCCGTTGATTTTGAATAGGGGTGGGCATAGAACAGTTGTCATGAATACCAGGCAGCTTTACCAGAGTTATGTCAGAAGGATCCTGTCTGCAATTGCCACCAGCCACATTAGAGGAATAAGAAAGCAACTTTGGAAACTGACCATCTACTGAATTATAGAAAGACAAGACTGGGCTTGTGGGAAGTGGACATGTGGATCTCAGGGAAACTACAGTGTGGGTTGTGTCTGTCTGGATATAAAAATAAAGCATGTAGTGCTGGCAGTGACCAAGCTGTCTGTTCCTTTTCTGCATCCTGTCTTCATTCACTGAAGAATTGTAACTCTGCTGTTCTGCAACCCTGTGCTGATCTATCAGAACTTTCTGAAAGTTTTGATCTGAATCTTGACTGGGAGAAAGACACAACATGACTGATATAGTATTTTTACCAAAAAAAAAATGTATAACCTGAGTCAATTATGAGGAAACATATGAACCCATAATGAGAAACATTCTGCTAGATATGAGGCTGTATTCTTCAGAAGATACCAGTGTCATAACACATGATGACAGGCTAAAGAATTGTCTCAAATTAAAGGAATCTAAGGAGCTATGACAACGAAATGTAATCAGTATATGATCCTGGGTTGGAAAAACAAAAATTACTGTAAAGGACAATGTTGAGACAAGTAGCAAAATTTGAATATAGACTATGTTGGTAGTAACATTGAATCAGCATTAAATATTAAATATTCTGAATTTGATAATAGCATTGTGATTATATATCCTTAAGACATATAAGATATTTAGGGGTGAAAGTTCATGCTATCTTACTCCCATTCATAAAGAATGAGACTAATAGTCTCATTATGCTAGCAACAGCAGAGCTGTAGTAAAGCTGCCTGGTATTCATGACAACTGTCCCATGCCCACCCCTGTTCAAAATCAAGGGGCACACACACACATGCACTTTCAACCTTAAAAAAGACAGTCTACTAAATATAATTGAATGCTTCTTGGATGATTCTGGAGTGTGTGGTGCTTTGGTATCCCATCATCATACCAATATTGACAGTATAATTGTGATTACACAAACTGTAAGGGAGGGCCACGTGTGTGTTGAGTCCAAGACATTTCCGAAAATCTGTTTGGTTTTTAAATTCTCTTAGCTGCATCTCTTGTCACTTCCTCTTTCTCCTGACAATCAAGGGCAGAGAGTTTATTGCCATTTCCACCTAACTTGAGATTACAAAGCACAAGCTTTGGGCAGGCTGCTGGTAACCCTTGGGCCCTAGCTCTCTGCTAGGTAAAAGAGATCTTTTCATTTACTAACTTTTCCTTTTCCTAGTTGTTCCCTCAGGCCACTGGCTCAGTAGAGGTCCTCCTGGATTCTCAATTTTCTGAATCACATTATTTCAATAAAGTACTTACTAAAGCACACAAGAGGCTGAGACATGGAATAATTTAGGTGTCACGGGGCACTTGCATATTCAGTAGAAGGAAGGAATTGCCAGCATTGAGACTTTTGCTGTAGGGTCAGAATAGAGCAAGACGAATTGGGGGAAGTCCCCTTTCTCCAAGCGTACATGAAATCAGTTATGCCAATGGAGACCAGAAAAGAAAATTGTCTCCTTCAAGCTGATCAGCACCATGGCAACTATAGGGACTGCAGCTGCACATACACATACTTTCTGGGTTGTCTGGCCACCAAGGACAGTATAGCAAAATAAAATATTTTTTTTCCTCACCAGTCAGTTAAATCCAAGTTTCCAATGCAAAGTGTGCATTTCAAGGACATTATATAGATTTGCAGCAGTGCCTAGAGGACTTTGGGTCTATAAGAATGAAGAATGAATTACAAGGAAATATAAATATGGCATTTTCATCAGTGACAACTATGATATTGTCACAATATTGAAGGAAACTAGTGATTTCTTATAGATGTACATGCTCACTGTTGCTATAAAAAATGCACAACTAAGCAGAAATTGGAGAAAAGCAAAAAAAAAAAAAAAAAAAAAAGATTAAAATGGCAACATCCTGAGCCTCATGATTCAGGGAAAAGAAGAACACTTCCAGTTCTGTTTCCAGCTAAGCAGGTCTCTTTGCAACTGATCTGGAGAGCAGCTGATCTGGAGTTTGGTGGGATAGATCTTTTGCAGTCAGGGCTCAGAGGAGCCTCTAAGAAGCCTAGGTATGATCAGGAGAGGCAAGGACAAGAAGGATGAATGAAGTCACCTGGGGCCTGAGACATCTAAGAGCTGGTTCATGGTCCTTGGTACCCATCTCTTGGGGCCTCCAAGGGGCATGTGTCCTGGAGATCATTTCTTTCTTACCTAGGAAGCTTCTACAGGAAAGACATGCCCCTTCCTAGGTGCCCCCTTACTCTTCATGCTGAAGTGTCATCCAGATTAATTATGATTACATCATCATAACTGTTTCCAACTTTTACCTAGTTAGGTTAAGATTTTTAAATTTTGGATAAGCAACCTCCACATAAATATCACTCCACATCCAGCAAACATCACCATTTTACTTACTAATTTTTATCTGTCCATTCCTCCTATCATTTTTTGCCGGGTATTTTTAAGCAAATTCCAAACATCACATCATTTTAAATCTAAATACTTAAATATGCATCTCAAAAGAAAAAAAAAAGGAATATTGATTGTATATAACCATAAGGCCTCTAACATTAACAAAATTCATAATTTCTTTTTTTATTGGAATATTACTCAGCTTTAAAGAAGAGAGAAATTATGGCATTTGCCAGTAAATGGATGGAGTTGGAGAATATCATGCTAAGCGAAATAAGCCAATCTCAAAAAACAAAAGCCTGTTATGTTTTCTCTCATATGCAGATGCTAATTCATTATTTCTTAATACCATCAAATTCTATCTCATTTAAATGCCTCTGTTTATCTAAAAATGTCTTTTTCTAACTGTTCTACTTGAGTCATAATCTAAACAAAGCCTAGTCTGTTATTTGTTAGTTGTATTTCTTAAGTAGCTTTTGTACCACTTTGTGTTTTTTTTAAAGCTGTCTCCCTTCTCTTTCTTTCTCTCTCTTTCACATACTAATAAAACAAAGATGTTTTATATTATGTGCAACTTTTTGCATTTGATTAACTGCTACCATTAGCTTAAATCTGTCATATCACTTGTAGATGTGAAAAGTAGACCTAAGATCTTCATTGAATTCAAGTTAATTACTTTCTTTTTGGCAAGAATACTTCATAGGTGGCTCTGTGTACTTCATATTGTACTATGTCAGAAAGTGAATAATGTCTCATTGTCCTATTTTTCTGATGCCAATTTAATATTATTTGCTTATTTTCAAGATGAAACAAACACTTCTATTTACTCCAAATCAAAACTAACCAAAGTATAATCAGAGGAATCTTATTTATATTTTTACTCCTCTATCGGGTACTTTCTGTCCTCTTAAAGATCACTGAATTTTTTAGCCATAGTTTCTTTTAGAAAATATGATAATATATATTTTTTGGTACCAGGGATTTAACCCAGGGGCACTTTCCCACTGAGCCACATTCCTAGCACTTATTTAGAGATAGGGTCTTGTTAAGTTGCTTTAGGGGCTCACTAAGAAGCTGAGGCTGGCTTTGAACTCAGGATCCTCTTGCCTCAGTCTCCCAAGCCACTGGAATTACAGGCATGCACCATTGAGCCCAGCTCAAGTATCCTTGTTATGAAAACCTAGCATACTCTATGCTATATACACTGCATACACTGTTAGACGCTTTGTTTTTTCACCTTACATCATATCCTGGATCTCACTCCCTACCAATTTATGCAGATCTTTCTCATTGTTGCTGAGGTTTCCATTTTGGTCAATTATTTCCACATTGATAGATAGCCTGGTTTTGCTATTACAAATATATATATATGTGTATATATATATATATATATATATATATATATATATATATATATATAATGAATAATATCATGGACAAATCATGTTGTTTTTTAATATTTTTTTTAGTTGTAGTTGGACACAATACCTTTAATTAATTAATTTATTTATTTTTATGCTGTGCTGAGAATCAAACCCAGTACCTCACACACACTAGGCAAGCACTCTACCACTGAGCCACAACCCCAGGCCCTCATGTTGTGTTTTTGCAAGAACATATTTGGTAAGGATTACTAAAAGTGGGATTGCTGCTCAAAGGGCAAAATGTGTCTAATTTTTCTAGATAGTCAATCAAATCTCTAAATCCTATATTAATTTCCATTATTTCTCCCATCAGAAAGAAGCCAACAAAACATATAACTGTGAAAATTTAGGTCTCAGTGAAATTCCTGACACCCTACCAAACACAACAGAATTTTTGGAATTCAGCTTTAATTTCTTGCCTACAATTCAAAATACAACTTTCAGCAGACTCATAGATCTTACTTTTTTGGATTTAACCAGGTATGTATCTGAGTTCCTGTGTACTCTTGATGTTTTACTTAAGAAGAAACAAAATTTGCATTTGAATTGTCCCCAGGATCTTCTTTTGGGGCACAGGGACACTCTGCTTATTCTGTATTTTCATTTACTCCTTCATCTGAAATACTTTAATGCAAGTGAAGTGTAATTTAAATAAACAACAATCAATGGACAGGAAAGTGAGTTGTTTTCAAACTAGCTGCATCAGCAGTACCATTGAAGAATTTCTAAGGAATATTAAAAAAAAGTGAAAATAAATTCTGCACTGAATCAGACACCATATTATACTATATTTTAACACAGTTGACTACTATTAGGTGAATCGCATGTAACAAAAGTTATGAGAAACACACATACCTACTAATTCTTTTTTTTTTTAAATTGAAAAAAGAGTTCCATTATTTGGCTTTAGAGGCAGAATCAGGATTCCATATCCTGAACAAATGTTTGAGAACCAGTGGACAAAAGTATTACAAGAAAGTATGGGAGGAAAACAGAAGGGATGTGCAGCTTGTGTGTGTGTGTGTGTGTGTGTGTGTGTGTGTGTGGAGTGGGGGAAGGGACCCCACATGTTCATGACTTCTGTACCCCTTGCAGTAGTTCAATGACTTCCACTTGTGTCTTTCCACTTGAGTTTCTGCAAAGTGGAAGAAAGCACACACCCATAGCACTGTTTCATCTTTACAATCACCTCTGTGGGGTGCCAATTAATATTACCACCCATTTCTGCAGTTAGATGCAGAAACTATCAGTGTGTGTGTGTGTGTGTGTGTGTGTGTAAGTGTGTGTGTTTAATCCAGTACTTTAAGATGCAGTACCAGGATGGATTTCTCTTAACTTCTAGCATTCTGTAGTTCAATGGAGCATTTTTACATACATCATTTGACATACAATAATTCTACAAAATAGTCATTATTTTTGTATTTCATAGATGAAAGAGGAAGGCTGAGTGTGGCATGTAGCACATGCCTAGCATGTGTAAGGGCATACGCTCAATCCCCAGCAACTCTTTCTTCCCCCCAAATAGGCTTTAACTTGCCAAGGATGCCAAGGATAAATACATACCATGTATTATCTATTATACATTACATATGGCATATTTTATATTACTTAATATAATAAATCACAGTTTGGTTTTGCCTACAAAAAAAATCAAACCACTAATTGTTCCTTAGAATACAAATATAAACCTCTGAGTGTTCTATCTAAATAGGAAAGACAGACATCTGGAATAAATTCCAAATCAGAGCTTTCAGTACTAGGGCTATTCATTAATTATCTTGACAGACCATCTGTGGGTATGGAAGAAAGTTTTTTGTGTTGGATAACATATAGTGTTTTATGGTATACAAAAGATGGCTTTGGGAATGTGGTGACAGCATTTTCCCTTTTTTTTCTAATTAATCATTGTTAAATACAATTATCTTTTCAAGGTGCCAGATTAACTGGATACATGATGACACTTTTCAAAGCCATCATCAGTTGAGCACACTGATATTAACTGGAAACCCTCTGATATTTATGGCAGAAACAGCATTTAACGGGCCCAAGTCGCTGAAGCATTTGTTCTTAATTCAAACAGGAATATCCAGTCTTGAGTTTATCCCACCTCACAATCTGGAAAACTTGGAAAGTTTGCATCTGGGGAGCAACCATATTTCTTCCATTAAGCTCCCAAATGATTTCCCAGCAGGGAATCTGAAAGTCCTGGATTTTCAGAATAATGCTATACACTACCTTTCTAGAGAAGATATGAACTCTCTGAAGCAGGCCACCAACCTAAGTCTTAACTTCAATAGCAATGACATTAAAGGTATTGAGCCTGGGGCTTTCAGTTCACAATTCTTCCAAAGCTTGAACTTTGGAGGGACTCGTGACTTGTCTGTCATATTCAGTGGTCTACGGAACTCTACTATTCAATCTCTCTGGTTGGGGACATTTGAGGACATTGATAACCAATATCTAAGTTCAGCCACATTTCAGGGTCTTTGTGACACATCTGTTGAGAGCATCAACCTGCAAAAGCATCATTTCTCTGACTTCTCCTCCACCACGTTTCGATGCTTTGCCCAACTCCAGAATCTGGATCTAACGGCCACTCACCTGCAAGAATTACCCTCTGGGATTGAGGGTATGAACTCACTCAAGAAATTAGTTCTCAATGTAAATAAATTTGACCAATTGTGTCAAATCAATGCTGCCAATTTCCCCTCCCTTACACACCTCTATATCAAAGGCAACATGAAGAAGCTTCACCTCGGTACTGGCTGTTTAGAAAAACTAGAGAATCTTCAGAAACTTGATTTAAGCCATAGCGGCATAGAAGCTTCTGATTGCTGCAATCTGCAGCTCAAAAATCTTCCCCACTTGCAAAGTCTAAACCTGAGCTACAATGAGCTCATTGGTTTTCAGAGGGAGGCGTTCCAAGCATGTCCTCAGCTAGAGATCTTGGATTTGTCATTTACCCACTTACATGTGAGTGCACCACAAAGTCCTTTCCAAAACCTTCATCACCTGAAGATTCTGAATCTCTCTCATAGCTTCCTTGATACCAGCAATCAGCTTCTTCTAGCAGGCCTGCCAGACCTTCGGCATCTGAACTTGCAGGGGAATCGTTTTCAAGATGGGAGTATCCCGAAGAACAACCTACTTCAGACAGTGGGAAGCTTGGAGATGCTGGTTTTATCCTCCAGTGACCTCTTGTCCATAGACCAGCAGGCTTTCCACAGCCTTGATAAAATGAGTCACGTAGACTTAAGTCACAATAATCTGACATCAAATAGCATTGATGCTCTTAGCCATCTTAAGGGGATCTACCTCAATTTGGCGGCTAATGCCATTGGCATTATCTCACCCCATCTCCTCTCCATCTTGTCCCAGCAGAGCACTATTAATTTAAGTCACAATCCCCTGGACTGCACGTGCTCAAATATTCACTTTTTAACATGGTACAAAGAAAACCTGCAAAAACTTGAGGACTTGGAGGAGACTGTGTGTGCAAATCCCCCATCACTAAAGGGAGTTCAACTGTCTGATGTCCAGCTGTCCTGTGGAATTACCCCCGTGGGAATTTTATTTCTAACAGTATTTTTCCTCTTGGTCTCCATTCTACTCATTTTCGCAATTAAATTCTTTCTCAGGTGGAAATACCAACACATTTAGTGCTGAAGGCTTCTAGAGAAGGCAAATAGAACGTGTTTGGCACAACTGCCTTAACTGGAGAAATAGTTGGATGTGGATAACCAGACTCTTCAGACCAGCTCCTGGTGTTGGGCTGGGATTGACTGTGCTTTTTAAGTTTTTTACTTTTTACTTTTATTTTGTTTTGTTTTGTTTTTGTTTTGTTTGTTTGTTTGTTTTGTTTTGTTTTTTTGAGCTTCTTACCCTGATGAGTCCTTCCTGGCAGGTAAACTGACTGGGGCCAGAGGACCCTGCTATGGGAGGTACCTTACCATTTATTTCCTCACATGGAAGATGACTGAAGTTGGGGAGGGAGCCTTGGCAATGCCACCTGCCTTCCACTCACTGAGAGACCTCACCCCTGGAAGGAGATCACCATCCCCATAACTTGACAATGCTGAGGCCAACCCTATCCACTTGTACTTTCTCCCATATCTAAGTCATTATGCTTGAGTCAAAATTCTCAATAATGTAGCCATTTGGAAAACTTAGTCCAGGGAAAAGTCTCATTGAATATTTTAAATGAGAAAAAGAATAATGCAACCTGGGCATGGTGATGCACACATGTAATCCCAGTGGCCTGGGAGGCTGAGACAGGAGGATGGTAAGTTTGAGTCCAGGCTCAGCAACTAAGCAAGACCCTGTCTCAAAATAAGAAACAAAAAGGGCTGAGGATGTTAAGTGGTTAAGTGCCCCAGGGTTCAATCTCTGGTATCAAAAAATGAAACAAACTAAAACAAAAAAAGAATTTAAAAGACTGAGAAATGAATTGTGCTTTCAAATAGACTCCATTAATCTACTAGGTCCTTAGGTTTCTAGGTCTTGATAATGCCTCTGGAATGAAAATAACTACAAAAAAAAAAACAAACAAACAAACAAAACAAGCAAACAAAAACCATTCCTTTACCCCTTAATCCCTGAAGTCTAGGATTTTATTCACCTCCATCCTTCACACCTTCACTGCCTGTCTGGTGTTCTGGCTTTTATGTGGTAGATCTCACTTAGTAATGGGCTTCAGTCCAAAATGCTCTTCTTGTCTAGGTGTCTAGTCCTCAGAAGCCTCTTTCCCATGGAATGATGAGATAAATGGTGACTGGTTCCCAGACTGGTCCTCAAACATCTATTTATCTCAGAGAGCTGCTTACAATGAAAACTAGTGGAAGAAGCCATCCCTACACACTAGCTGTTAGGAACACAGTAAAGCTGGCTTCGTGATAGTTTCTGTTGAGGCTGAGGGTGTCAGTGAAGGTCATGCCAGCAATAGACACGGGACAGAGTCATTGAGTACAAATAGACAAAGAGGATGAAGAAGCTGGCAGTGTCAACACTGAGACCTTCCCCAGGCCCAGTGAGTCCCATTTAACTGGGCCTTGCCCTTCTGAGGCTGGATTATTGGACAAGCTTACTGGAGCTCTTGTACTCAGCTGCTGCATTTATAGCCCACTTCTTCCTCCTCCATATCCATGGATTCAAGCAACTGCAGAGGGACAATGTTTGAAAAAAAAAAAAAAAAACCTCCAAGTGTACAGAATATGCACAGAAAATTTTCATGTCATTGTTCCCTAAGCAATATAGCACAACAATTGTTTACATAGTACTAATATTGTTTGGGATATTTATAAGTAATGTAGAGATTATTTAAAGTGTATGGGAAGATGCGTGTAGGTTATCTGAAAATACTGTGCCATTTTATATAAGGAACTCGAGTATCTGGGAATTCTGGAATCTGTGAGAGGTCCTGGAACCAATTCTCTATAGAAACCAAAGGGTGACTACATAAGGGCTCGATTAAGTTCTACTATCAATTTTTAGGTCAAAGAGAGTATCATTCTGAAATTCTGCTTGGATATCAAAGTAAAAGTTGATCAATTTTAATATCCAATCTGAAATTTTTTGCCCTTAGACTAAAGGCATAATAGTGGACATGATCATGGAATGTGGGAATTCATCCTCTTTGCCTCTTCTTCATTCCCTGGAAAAGCTGGACAGGAAGGGAACAGCAATGGAAGAACCTCTTGGGGGCTCAGGAATTACAGGCTTTCTTGTTTGTTCCTTTTTGCCTGGAAGATGCTGCGGGCATCTCCCGATGACTGGTTCCCTCCCATCCCTGAGATCTCAGTGCTGGTATCCACTCCTCTGAGGGAGCTCTTCCTTGACCTGGCCAGTCCAAACCAAATTAGGCCACACCCAATGCTCTCACTAGCACCTCCATCATCTTTATTGTTAATCAGCTATAGGATTATCCTCCTCATTTTGTTTTAATTTGTCTAGCTTGTCTTTTTTACCCCCAAATGTAAGCTGCACATGAGGGTCTTTACCCAATGGTGTCCTACAAGTGCCTGGGACAAAATAAGGACTCGATATATTTTCAGTAATTGCTGACATTTGCTGGCCTTCTGACCCCTAAACCCTTATCAGCACCTACTTCCATCCCCATGACCAGACATACCAACCTTTAGCTTCAGTTGACATCTCCAATATTTCCTATGCCTCCCACATATTTCTCACCAGAATAACCTAGGGCAACCTAGGATAAGAAGTGGATTCTTGTGCCTTGCCTCCAGATGTTGAGATTCTGTCAGACTAAGATTAGCCCTGGATTCCCAGCCAAATGACTGACTCCAGTAAAATCCATTTTTATTCTTAATGATACATGTATCCCTCTTACTTCTCTCATCTTGTGATATTTGACTTCAAATGCATTTCTCCCACGGAAGATCCATATTCTAAGAATTTGGTCTTAGACAACACCAACCCATTAGTTTCCTAGGTATTCTGTCAATGTGATCTCCTTCCTGTCCTAGGGCTTTAAGCTGCAGATGGGAAATATTAATTGTTGACCTACCACCCCTTAGCCATACTCTTCACTATAATATTTAATGGGTAACTTGAAAAAACAAAACTATTCTGTAGAAAAAACTCTGATGCAGGTTGCATTACATTAAAGGTAGCAAAGTTTCACATGTTAGAAAGGCATAATTGTTCATCCTGCTTTCATTGATCACCATGCTCCCTCCCATATGATACAACTAGCTGCTCCATAACTGCACACTGATCTAAGGCTTTGTGACAGTTCCTCTGTTTCAAGCAACAGTAAATTCACCTCCAAAAAGTCAGAAAGGGAGTTTTTTGATGGCTGCTGTCAATTTTATTGCTTTATCTGGTTACTAGGATAGAATCTGTACACATAGTGTGTTTATTGGTTTTATGTATTGTGTGTTGTTGCTGCTCTGACAAGCTACTCCTATAAAAATGTGTTATTATTGCATGATGTAGCTCAGTGAGCTGACCCTGCATTTCAAAGTGTACTGAAGCAAATAGCATTGAAGTCCATAAAAGCTGACTGGCCTCCATCACAGAGGATTCTCTGCGTGAGCTGCAACTCCTACAATCTGAGGAAGAATTATACCTTTCCCTGTGCCAGCAGCCACTGCTATTAACTGAGCACAGCACAACCTCAAACACAGGCATTATCTGAAAATTTTCAAAACAGGAAACTCTTAAGTCATTCTTACTTGTCCAACTCTCTGATAAACGTTGATTGCAATTTTGAAATTTACAAAAGTATACAACAACTGGCTTTTTAATGTTTTCTTTTGTTAGTATAGAATACAAGAGGGGTAACTGACAATGTTTTCTTTCTGCTCAGAATGTTGAAGAGCTTTGCTGTTTAATCTTTCATGAGCAGTAACAGCTTTTAAATACAATCTGTATTTAATTAATTCTTTCTTTTTAAAATCTTATCAGATCAATAACTGATTTCAAAACATTAGCTGGTTAGCTCTAAGCAGAAAAGACTGGGGAGTCAATGGCCTGATGTGTTAAGAATCTGAATTCTAGGCCAGGTGTGATAGCAAACACCTATAACCCCAGTTGTTCAGGAGGCTGAGGCCAGAGGATCACAAGTCCAAGGCCAATCTGGGTAACTTAATGAGACCCTGTCTTAAAATAAAATAAAAGAGCCTTGAGGTTTAGCTCAATGGTAGAACACTTTCCTACTATGCCCAAGGCCTTGGATTCAATCCCCAGAATGGGGAGGGGAAAAAGAGCACAATTTGCCCAACATAGCAGGAGGTAGCCTGCAGGCCATAGGGAGATGGATTAGCTCAGTGTGGCTCCCAAGCCCAACTGATTATCAGAATGACCTGGGGAATTCTTTACAAAACAGTTGCCTATGTCCCAACTTTAGCTATTGAGACGGGGGTTGGTTTTGCACTCTTGACCAAATTATTTTATATAAAATCCTTCCTTAATCTTAACAACAAACAGCAGCAGAAGCTTGTTAAACTCCATCAGCCCAAACACTGTAATTCCATATCCCATGAGAAGAAATTTCTTAACGAAAATGGGACAGCAGCACTAAGGAGCCCTCAAACCCAGGAACATCCTGGGCAGGTAGTCTGTGTCTTCTGCCATCACTGCCAGGCGACAGGACTCTCCTAAAACCACCCTGCTTTCCACCTGTGTCCTTCCCACTCTCATGCTATGCTAGCTATTTATGACTTGAAATCAGTTATTGAATATGATGAGACTTTAAAATGAAAGCATTTGATTTATGGATGGTATTTAAAAGCTGTTATTTCTCATGAAAGATTTAGCAGCAGCTGGGCATGGTGGCATGCGCCCGTAATCCTAGCAGCTCGGGAGACTGAGGCAGGAGAATCTTAAGTTCGAAGCCAGCCTCAGCAATTTAGTGAGACCTTAAGCAACTCAGTGAGACCCTGTCTCAATGGAAAATATAAAAAAAAAAGAGTTGGGGATGTGGCCAAGTAGTTAAGTGCCCTTGGGTTCAATCCTCAGTACAAAAAAAAGATTAAGCAGCAAAGCTCATCAAAGACCCAGCCTCCCACCTTCCTCATCTTTAATTTTCCCTGAGTACTTGACTGTTCAAGATATGGTACTAGATCATGCAAAGATAGGGGGAAAACAAGTGGCCACCAGACACCCACCCTTCTCCTTCTGCTCCCTTCATGTTGGTTCATGGGCTTTCTAAATAGCTTGGAAAACTATTTCCTTCTCCCTCTCTAGTAACAACCTAAATATGCAACAAGAAATAAGTGATTAAATAAATTAGGAAATGCCCTGAATAAGTAGGGAGAGATTCAATGTTCTTATGTGGAACAACTTAATACTATAAATAAGTCAATGCAATTAACAATCAGATAAAGGCATATTAAAATGAAATGAACTTTTATATCTACCAGACTAACCCAAAAGAGAAAGCTGGATAATAGTGTAGGTGGGGAACTGCATGCCTTAGGTTTAAACTGATATAGCCCTCCTAAGACCATCTAAGGCCATAATCTGACAAATTAAAATGTGATCCTCAAATATGGGGTGGGGGGTATGTCGCAAGAATTCATGGCAGCATAATTTAAGGATGGGGAAGTTTGTAGCAATTTGAGTTTTCATCACTAGGAAAGTGAGTGGATAAAGTAGGGAAGATGAAAAACACATAGTTAGAAGCAATGGATTTGATACAACAACAACTGAATCTTAAACATTAAAGAAAAACTTTGCAGACAATTTAAAGTTAACAGAGTTTATTTGAGCAAAGATGGATTCATGTATTGGATATACCCTGAACCAGTAGAGTTTCATTTTTTTCTTTCTTTTTTTTAAAGTTTAGTTTTAGACAGAGTCTTGCTAAATTTCTGAGGCTGACCTCAAACTTGTAATCCTCCTGCCTCAGCCTTCTGAGTCTCTGGGATTACCAGTTTGCATCACACTCAGCTTCTGAACCAGTGGAACTTCATATAGCTCCATCCAGCAATATAGCCAAATGGTATTTATTCATAGATAGGAAAAGGAAGTGACATATAGAAACCACTTGATTGGTTATAGCTCAGTATTTGCCTTATTCAGGCATGGTATATTGAGGCATCTGCCTCATATGGATATAGTCTGATCTGCTCACAGTCTGTGATTGGCTGCAACTCAGCAGCTGCAATTGGCTAAAACTCAGTGATCTGTTAAATGGATATACTCTTAGTAAGGTTGCAGTTTGTTGATGTACAGAGTCAGTGTTAGGCAAATTTACTTTAACATACAGAGTTTCAGGGAGGAACAAAAACCAAAATGATGTATTAACATGATCACCTACATAAATTAAAAAGGCATGTATACAAACAATGTATAAAAAATATTTTTAAAGAACTCAAACCAAAAAATAAACCACTAATATTGTTGCTGATTATATGGGGGTTGGGGGCGAAAGGCAATATCAAGATAAATTAAATGAACCTTAGCCATGGTTGATGTGCCCAGAACTGAAGAGTAAGATAATATTCATCATCATCATCATTATCATCATCATCATCATCATCATCATCTGTGCCTGAGGTTTTCTAGTATAGACACACACACACACACACACACACACACACACGAGAAAATAATATGGCACAATCATATAATGAAATGCCATATGGCCATTATAAATAACATTGCAGAATATATTTACAGACATTGAAATATATTTGCTTTAATATCCAAGCAAAAGAGCAGATTACTAAACATGATGCTCATTATTATTTCATTTGTCAGCAAAATAAATAATACCTAAATATTAAACAGTGACAGAGTGGCTGGTGGGGTTGCACTAATTTGAGAACTTTTCTCCTTGCTATATTTTGAATTTTCCTTCAATGTATTTTCCAACTATAGGCAATAAGGAAAAAAATAAAAGAATTGTTGCTTTGGGGTAAACAATAAGAAGTCAAGGATCCTGAGAACCACAGGTACTCAAAAGAAGGCAGTGTTTTTCCAAGGAATGCAAATGATCAAGCTCAGCCTTTGTGGGTCACTTTTTCCTTTTTCTTGAGACAGAGGGAGCCAAAGCTGGTTTGAGGATCCCCAACTGTAGGACACAAATTACAGGGGACAATCCACAGGAAATGCTTCAGATCCCAACAGAAGTCAATACATTTCTACTCATGAAAATTATTTCAGCATGGGACCCTTAACACAGCATATGTATTCCAAAAGGACAGGATTTTCTGGTAAAGATTTTTATTTAGACAGGTAGGTGCTTGAGGATGTGTTCATGCCAACCTGACTGTGACCTTTGTAGCTGCAAAGTACCTGCTGCAGGCTTTGCAAACATCTTCATTCTTCACCACCCAGCCGCTGACAGCTAATTCTGGGCAGTGCTTAGTGAAGCAGGATGAATATTTGTAAGATGCTTTGAGCTTTACCATATTAATGGACTTTTTTAAAGCCATGTGAGGAGAAAAAATATAATCATATGCAACATTTAAGCATACTGGACTGGTACGTCACAGAGATTCCCTTTCTCAAGTTCTTATCTGCATGCAAGTATTCAATAAAATTATGTAGGGGCCCAGGGGTTTGAACTGAGCACTCGCACTGTCTTCAACAGACCAAAGCAATATATGGAAGTTTAATCACAGTAACTAAGACTTGGCTGGTTGCAGGATACCCTGTCACCAATTAACTGATTAAGCTATAAATAATACTAGATAAGCTGTGCCCAATTGACGGGTTGTTCACTAGGCTGTAACCAATTATTTTACCTGCCTCACTTCTGTTTTCCTATAAATGCTGTCTGATCACATTGTTGGGTATTTTCAGCACCTATTCTGGTTCTGGGAGTGCCAGGTTCTACTTTGTTTTGCTTACATAAATTCTACTAAATTTAATTCGTCTAAGGCATCTTCCTTCTAGACTCCTGGGGGCAGCAGGTAATCGGGTGTGGGGACTGCTGGGAACTTCATGGCCACTGTCTTCTTACTGAACTTGGGAATGATAGGTAAGTTCTCTCTTGGATTTGGAAGCTCCATGGATTTGTTTTTCAATAAGTTTGTTTGAGCAAAATTTTGATCCAGACTGGGTTGGAAGTTGTAACCAGGACATTGGACTGGTCTTATTAGAACTCAGGTGTCTGATTGGACCAGATGGAAACTGAACTGGGGTCAGTAGGAAAAGGACTGGGGCCTAGCGGGATCTCAGGCCAGTGTGTCTGAGAGAAAACCTGGATTCAGTAAAGTAGTTAGATAAGGTTGCTGCAAGAGGGACTCATGGGCTCATCTAGATCCTGGAACTCCACCCAGGGATAGCTTGTGCTATGAGGAGGACATGCCCTTGGGGTTTGTGCCAAGGGTCAGTTTGTGCCATGAGAGGGCATATGACTGGGCATTTGTGGTAGCTACTAGGATTGAAAAGAAATACACCAAGTCTGGGGGCTGGAATTCTGGCCCATTTCCTGAATAAGAATGCCTGATACCTGCAGTTTTTTATTTGGGGCATGTGGGGATCGTGGGATTTGTTGATGTTGTTGGGTTTTCTTGTTTTTTGTTGGTCTGGGTTTTTTTTTGTTGTTGTTTTTTTGTTTTTTTTTTTTGGGGGGGGGTTTTGGTGGTGGTTGTTTTTAGAGAAATGGGTGAATCTTACAAGGAATAACAGAATTGCAGAGGCCATAATGAGGGGGTTTTAATTTGGGTGAAATTATTTATTTGTAGAGTAGATGAGGAAAAGATTAAAGACTCTACAGAAACAATGAGATTCAATTTTTAATTGACCTTGAAGCATTTAAAGTGTAAATGAATCCAGGAGGGAGAGTTGTTAATAGAAGTTGAGCCCTCAGGTGAGTAGGGTTGGCTTCTTTACACCTTGGTTAAAACATTAAGCCCAGGACGATAATGTAAGATATCTGTTTCCCTGCCCTTCTTGCTAATGAGCTCTGCCTCCTCAGTAACTTAACGCAGGCTGGGATGAGAAGCTGCCTATCATTAATTAATCTTGAAACCTGTATTTGCTGAAAGAAACCTACATCTATAGAGAAGTCTCCATTTGCTGCTTTTTTTTGAGCTTTTTAAAATTTGTTCTTATTAGTTATACATGACAGTAGAATGTATTTGGACATATTATACATATATGGAGTTTAATTTCCCATTTTTGTGGTTATACATAATGTGGAATTATATTAATCATGTATTCATATATGAACATTGGAACGTAGTATCCGATTCATTCTACTATCTTTTCTGTTCCCATTCCTCCTCCCTTCCCTTCATTCCCCTTTGTCTAATCCAAAGTACTTCTATTCTTCCCTACCCCCTACCTTATTGTGAGTTAGCACCCACATATCAGAACATACATCCCTTGGTTTTCAGCGATTGGCTTATTAGCATGATAGTCTATAGATAGACTATTAGCATGATAGTCTTCACTTCCATCCATTTACTGGCTAATGCAATAATTTCATTTCTCTTTATGGCTGAGTAATATTCCATTGTGTATATAGACCACATTTTCTTTATCTGTTTATCTGTTGAAGGGCACGTGGGATGGTTTCATAGCTTAGCTATTGTGAATTGAGCTGCTATAAACATTGATGTGTTTATAGCACTATACTATGCTGATTTTAAGTTCTTTGGGTATATACTGAGGAGTGGGATAACTGGATCAAATGGTGGTTCCATTCCAAGTTTTCTGAGGAATCTCCATACTTCTTTCCAGAGTGTACCAATTTGCAGTCTCACCACCAATGTATGAGTGAAACTTTCCCCCACATCCTCACCAACATTTATTGTTAGTTGTATTCTTGATAATTACCATTCTGACTGCAGTGATATGAAATCTGTGTAGTTTTAATTTGCACTTCTCTAACTGCTAGAGATATTGAACATTTTCTCATATATTTTTTCCTTGCAAAGGTCTTTGTGTTATTTATTTATTCAGCTTAATCTTTTAACTAATAATGCTTATTTTCTAGCTTTCTTGCCTCACAAACATTCATGGCTGTACGATCCATTCACTTTTAAATGCTAGTTCAGTAGTTTTTAATCATGCTCATTCAGCTGTCACTACAGACTAAAATCTAATCAATCATTTTCTATAGAGCATTTTTTTTGTTTTTGTACAAATTTTAACTTTCATTCTGAGAAGATATCCCTTGATCAAGTTAAAATTTAGATCCATGTGGTTGAGAGATTAGCTGTGATTAATTTTTATTATATATAGTGAATCTTTTTAAAATATTTAATTGATTTTATTTTTTAAATACATGACATTGGAATGCATTACAATTCTTATTACACATATACAGCACAATTTTTCATATCTCTGTATATAAAGTATGTTGACACCAATTCATGTCTTCCTACACGTACTTTGGATAATGATGTCCATCACATTCCACCATCCTTGCTAACCCCCTGCCCCACTCTTCCCCTCCCACCTCTCTGCCCTATCTACAGTTTGTCTATTCCTCCCATGCTCTCCCTCCCTACCCCATTATGGGTCAGTCACCTTATATCAGAGAAAACATTCGGCATTTGTTTTTTGGGGATTGGCTAACTTCACTTAGCATTATTTTCTCCAGCGCCATCCATTTACCCGCAAATGCCATGATTTGTTCTCTTTTATTGCTGAGTGATATTCCATTATATATATATATATATATATATATATATATATATATATATATATATATATATATATATATATATATATATATCTGTCCATTCATCTACTGAGGGGCATCTAGGTTGGTTTCACTATTGTGTTTAGCTATTGTGAATTGTGCTGCTATAAACATTGATGTGGCTGTGTCCCCACAGTATGCTGATATTAAGTCCTTTGGGTATAAACCAAGGAGAGGGATAACTGGGTCAAATGGTGGCTCCATACCCAGTTTTCCAAGGAATCTCCACACTGCTTTCCGTATTGGCTGCACCAATTTGCAGTCCCACCAGCAATGTATGAATGTGTCTTTTCCTCCACATCCTCGCCAACACTTATTGTTGTTTGTCTTCATAATAGCTGCCATTCTGACTGGAGTGAGAATGATATCAGAGTAGTTTTGATTTGTCATATATTTGTTGACTGATCATATTTGTTCTGTGAAGTGCTTGTTCAGTTCCTTTGCCCATTTATTGATTGGGTTTTTCTTTTTCTTTTTTTTTTTTTTAAGTTTTTTGAGATCTTTATATATCTTAGAGATTAATGCTCTATCTGAGGAGAAGGTAGAAAAGATTTTCTCCCATTTGGTAGGCTCTCTCTTCACATTCTTGATTGTTTCTTTTGCTGTGAAGAACTTTTTAGTTTGATTCCATCCCATTTGTTGATTCTTGGTTTTAGAGAAGTCTCCATTTGTAAGGGTGGTTCCCTCTCTATCCCTGCAGGAGATGGAGGACTAAATTACTGGATGCTCTCAGAGTGAAGGTGATGATTTGGGTCTGTGTCACAAGCCTCACCTTTGCCCATTTGTCCTAAGTAGGATTCCTATGTGTGCTTGTCTGGGTCTCAGCAGATGTTGGTAGGTAGGCCTGGAATGTGATTATGTCAGACATGTAGCTGACAATCCTTTAGGGCAATAATCAGACAAGTCAATCAAGAAGAGGGAACGAATCCTTTTACTCTATTCCCTTGCTGAAATGAGCAAAACAAAATGGTCAAGGGCAAAGAAAATACCATCAGAACAACTACTTTTTTTTTTTTGACAAGGGATTGAACCCAGGGACACTTATCCACCAAGCCACATCCCCAGCCCTTTTTAATTTATTTATTTATTTTATTTTTAGACAGGGTCTTGCCAGATTGCTTATAGCCTCACTAAATTGCTGAGGCTGGCTTTGAACCTGTGATCCTCTTGCCTCAGCCTCTTGAGCAACTGGGATTACAGGCATGCACCACCACACCTCGCAGAGCAAATGGTTTTTAAAAAATATTCTTAGAATAATAGATGATAGGTTGTAATAAGGTCTGTCTGGGTGCAATGAAGTATTCTGTCCTGTGATGAGTTAGAGCCGAGTCCCTTTGGAGGCTCCAAGTGAGAGGAACTTAGAAAACCTACATTTTGGTGTACAAGTGCCTTCTACTTAAAAGTAATCAATATACTCAAGAAATATATTTGGGGATGGTATTTCCTGAACTCCTTCAATGGCTTTGTTTAGTGATCAATTCAAGAATAATTGGTAATTAGAGTTAAACCTGGTGCATATAAATAGAATGGAAGTTTGTGAACGAAGTTGTGGTAGTTTCAGGAATAGTTCTCAATGGCGGGAAGCCTTGGAGTCTAGTTGTAGTAAATTAAAGAGTAGATATTTATGAAATGTCTGTGCCATTTTCAAGTAAATTCTAAAACATGGGCCTTTACCATTCTGATTTGATTGTGTGTTGGAGGAAGACAGTCTGATGACATGATAAATGTGATTCTGACCTGCTGGAGATGTTCCAATTACCTTTGATTGGAATAGGCTATTGTAAATTCTTCTGAAGACAAAACAGCTATTTTCGGCTTTCATTGAAAAAAAAAGAAGAATGTGTCTTGACTAATTGGAAAAAATTAAGTAGTGAAACACATCCACTTAATGGATATTTGATGGCTTATAACATTTTAGTAGGTCTAGAGATATATGACAAACAAGGTAGAGTTCCTTTTCCTCATGGAGTGTTATAGAAGCAGATGCATACACACGGAACAAGTAAAAAAGGACAGAAAATTAGTGATTATGTCAAGTGCCATGAAGGAAGCACTGTTTACTCACTGTTACCTGTTCATTGTCTGCAAATAGATTAATGGTCAAATTATATTTTTCATGTCAGCTTTTTTTGTTGCCATTGAATACAAAATACTGCTGGTCTCAGTTTAATATTTGATAATGAAAAAATTTTGCCCATTGAACATCTTGGTTTCATGCAATACACAGAATCTAAGTGTATTTAGGTCTGTGAGTAGACCTAAAAAGGATTGCCTTTTGAAGAAATGCTTCTAAAAGACTATGAAATTGTGCTCATCTTTAAATT